TGGAGAAGAATATCATGCTGGGAAGGGTGGTGGGTCACTCTAAGAGAGGAAGGCCCACAACAAGATAGACTGACATGGTGTCTGTGGAAACAGGCTCAGATATGTTGGAGATGATGGGGATGGCACAGGACAGGGCAGGGTTCAGATCTGCTCTTCATAGGGTTACTGTGAGGTATGTTTGACTCTATGACACATAACAACAACAGGCACATTATTCTTCCGTCTCCTCACAGGCATATAAAAGCTGGACAATGACCATGAAAGACCAGAGAAGAGGTGATGCCTTTACATTATGGTGCTGGTGAAGAATATTGAGAATAGTATGGACTTCCAGGAGAACAAAAAGAGTGTCTTTAAAGTAGTACAGCTCAGATGTTCATTAGAAGGAAGGAAGGCAAGAATTAGTTTACATAATTTAAACATGTTATGATGAGGGTAAGTCCCTAGAAAAGGACATCATGCTTGGTAAAATAGAGGGTCACAGAAAAGGAAGACCCTCAGTGAGGAATAGACATAGTAGCTGCAACAATGGATCAAACACAGCAGGGTTGTGAAGGTGAAAACTGGGCAGGGTTTCCTGCCCTTGTACATAAGGCCACTATGAGTTGGAAGCAACCCAACTGTCCTTAACAACAACAAAACTTCATCCTTACTGTCACATCCCACCTACTTCCTGTAATTAACCGATTATTCTAGGTCTTGATTTATTATTCCTCCTTTTCTTTTGCAGAATGGGCAGGTGCTTGTGTATTTCTTATATCCCTAACTTCTTACATGAAGCCTAGCATATGTCAAGAAAGATGCACTAAGCTTCCTTCACTTACATATATACTTAGAGAATCACTCTAAAGTCATTCAAAAGGGCCATTCAGTTTGATGCTTTGTCTTGTTTAATAGTTGCCTAGTACTCCATTATGTGGTTCTATTATTGTTTCTTCAACTATTTCTGTATGGTGACTTAGATTGTTGTCAATATTTTGAAATGACAAGCATTGATGTAGTTAATCATTGGAGCTGCATTACTATGGTTATGGGCTCAAAAGTCAGTGAATGTGGGATTTTATGAGACAGTGCCAAGTTCTTTTCCAGAATGGCAGAGCCAGACTGAATTTTCACCTCTCAATGTAAGAGAGTACCTGTTTACTAACCAACAAAACATCATAGCGCCGTACTTTCTAATTTTTCTCAGTCTGAGAGATGAGAAATGGTATCTTGGTATTGTTTCAATTGACAATTTTCTAACAGTAAGTATTGACTATCCCTTGGTGACCAAAAGAAAACACAAATCTGACTTGGAGAAAGTGCAGCCAGGGTGCTCCTTGCAAAGATGGTGAAACTTCGGCTCATGTATTTTGGGTGTGTTGTCAGGAGGGGCCAGTTCTTGGAAGAAGACATCATGCTGAGAAAGATGGAGGTTCAGAGGGAGAGAGGAAGACCTCAGTGAGGTGGACTGACATAATGACTGTAATAACGGGGTCGAGCACTTTGGTGATTGTGAAGATGGTGTGGGTTAGAGCAAGGTTCTCACCTGCTGTTCACGAGTCATAGTCCACTCAAACACTCATACCCACAGCAGTAATAAAAGTATCAGCATTTTCTCATAACCTTGAGGATCTTTTATATATTTTGTTAGCAGCTGAATGCTTAACTTACTATACTATCAGAGATACATGCACACACACACCACACATATTGTACTGCTATTGGGGCAGGTCAGATATGTGAGGACCATCCACCAGACCATAAAAGCCCATAAATTTTAACAGGAGAAGACTACCTGATGCCACCAGCACTCCTAGAAAGATATATGTGCTAAATTATGTAGTGAGCTCTGGGAACTTAGTGGTAAGCACTTGTGCTGCCAACTCAAACATGGGCCTTAATGGCCAGGTCAATGCTCTGTCTCTCACATCTTATCTTCTCTGTATTGGTTTAGGTTTTCCCAAAAATTTATATCTGGATAGAAATTCTAAAGAGGCAAATATTTAAGTTCTTTAAAGCCAATTATTTGAGAAATGGCATAAAATTTTATAAGCATTGTTTTTTAAAAATGAGAATTTGAAGATCTTCCCCCTGAAACCTACAGTGTCCCTTTTCAGCAGGAAGTAGCTAAGAGAATACGCCATCCCCTTTTCCTTATGAACCAGAGTGAAGTCTCTCTCAGGGAGGAGTGATAGGGAATGGCAAAGGACACACTGACAAAGGAGATTAATCAGAACTGGCTTTGACAAGCACTGTAGCAATTGGACAATTAAAACAGACTTTCAAGGGGGGGGAAAGAAGAACAAACTGGGGAGGAGGGTAGAGAAAATAGTGTGACAATGAATGAATGAAAACCCAAAATCCCTGTAAATGTTCATTAAAATTAATAAAATTTTTAAAAAATTAATAAAATTTAATAATTAAAAAATAAATATAACATTTAAAAATGACAATTTGGTTGAGTCAATAAATGAGGTCAGCTTTGGAATTCTGAGTCTACTCATGAGCAGTATGGGAACGGAAGGAGGTTCTGGTGGCCTAGTGGGTAAGGTTTATGCTGCCAAACTAGAGGTGGGTGGTTTGAATCCACTAGCCATTCTGAGGGAGAAAGATGAACAATTGCCTCCCAAATAATTTACAGCCTCTGAAAACACTTGACAGCAATGAGAAGGAATGATTGAGGAAGTCTTCTCCCATAAGTATTTATGGTACATAAGTATTTATCCGAAACCCAATGGAATGAGTCAGAATCAACTTGATGATGATAGATAGATAGATAGATAGATAGATAGATAGATAGATAGATAGATATTTATCTCAAGAAAATGACTCATGAACTTGTAGAAGTTGGCAAATCCTCAGTCTGTAGGTGTCATATGAGACTAGAGGCTTCTGACTCACCTAGCTTCAGGAGCCCATCAACCCAAGATCAGGAAGTCAGACAACAAGATACTAGCTTTGTAGGCACAGACTGCTGACTTAAACTCAAGTTCAAATAACTAGAGGTCAGATTCAAGGAACTAGATTAGGCAAAAAGCAAGAGAACTGTGCCAGATGTCATGTAATATATATATATATATATATAGTTGAGTACCACCAAGTAGGAATCAACTCATAGCTGACAGATTTTCAGAGACAGTAAATTGCATGGGAAGAGATTATCTATCTTTCTCCCACGGAGCAGCTGGTGGATTCACACAGCATACCTTTGATTTGGCAGGACAATATCTTACCATTAAGTCACCACAGCTCACACAGACACACACACATACACACACATGCATATGTAACTCTGTGTGTCTGTATGTATATATGTGTGTATCCTTAGAGACATTGTGCTGGGAGGTAGAGGGTCATAAAAAAGAGGAAGACCCTCAGTGAGATAGATTGTCATAGTGACTACCACTATAGGCTTGAGAGTGACAGATTGTGAGGATGGTGCAGAATAGGGCACACTTCTTATCTATTGTTCAGAGGATGGCTATAACTTGTAGCTGACTTGATGGCACCTGCAACATTCTAGGCAGGCAACACCCCTGTGGAAACACCTTTTCAACCTCATAGCATCTCATGAAAGTGATTACATTATATCACACTTCATCAAGGACTAAACATGCAAATCACTCTACCAACAGCAAAGTGCCAGGTAAGTATAGTATCCCTAAGAGTAGGTCATAAAAGCAAGTAAGTGTACAGATATCCCAAGGATTATCAAAAGAACAAACAAATACATATCATAGAAAGTGTAACCAGGGTAATCCTTAGAAGCAAGGATGGTAAAACTTACTCTCACATATTTTGGGCATGTTGAAAGGAGGAGCCAATCTTTAGTAAAAGACCTGCTTGGTTAAGAGGAGGGTCAGTGAAAGAAAGGAAGACCCTCAGCAAGATGGATTGACACAATGACTGTAACAATGGGCTCAAGTATATCAGAGATGATGAGAATGGCACAGGACAGGTCAGCGTACAGATCTGCTGTTCATAGGATCGCTCAGGGTCATGATTCCCCAACGGCACTTAATAACAACATCAAGGGAATGCCCACACCATAACTTCCAAACCAGAGAGCCGTGAGTAGCTAGGTTAACACATCTCTTCACACATGGGATAACCATGGGTTGGAATCAACTTGATGAAAACTAACAACAACAACAACAACAACAACAACAGCTTACCAGACCTTTCTGCTGAGGTACCTCTGGGTGGACTTGACCTTCCAACCTTTTAGTTAGCAGCAGAATGTGCTAATCATTTGCACTACCCAGGACTCTCCATTTCATCCTACTAGACTAAAAACTATCCTAGAGCAAGAGCAGTGTCCATTCTTTCTAATTCTTCTTACCCAGAAGATGGTGTAGAATTTATCTGATAATTAGAAGGCACTCAGGTGATGTAGTCCATAGTGTGTTGTTCTGCAAACCAAAAGGCCATGGGACGTCAGTGGTTTGAATCGATCAGCGGCTCTGCAGGATGGGTAGTACCCTTCCATTAATTCAGATTTAGAGCCTCAGAAATCTGAGGCAGGGTTGCTACGACTTAGAACCAAATCAATGACACTGAGTTTAGGTATTATATTTTTTTGGTGGTGCAGTGGCTAAGTGTTTGATTGTTAACTGAAAGGTTGACAATTTGATCCCAGTAGCTGCTCCAAAGGAGAAAAAAGTGTGGCAGTCTTCTTCTGTAAAGATTACAGCATTGGAATTCTCATGGTTCTGTAGTTCTCTGTCCTCCAGGGTTGCTATGAATCACAATGCTATGACAGCAGTGAGTTTGGTTTGTTAGGAATCTTCTGATTAGTGTCTGTAGAACATTTTAGAACTCTTGCCTAAGTTATTTATCAAAGATTAATAATGCATATGATTTTCAGTCTGTGAAATGTCCACAAGTGGCAGCTTGCCCCAATGTCAGAGGTAGCATGTCAAGATTTAAGTATGGCTAAAAAAAGATGGTTGTGGTTTAAAAAAGGATGCATTGAGCATGCACTTGCAGTCATTTGACATTTCATTGTCTTCATGTAGGTGTCAAGATCAACAGAAGACCTCGGGTGTTCTCGGAGGCCCGAGAGCACAGAGCTCATCTATGAAGCATCCAAGGTCGAAGTTGACGTCTCTGCGTCCATTACCCTGCAGGTGATGGTCAGTGCCGTGGGCAACTTTTCATGCCTCTGGATCTTCAAACACACTTTTCTAAACTGCCAGCCTAACTTTGATTTACAGAACAGGTAAGAGTGGGGAATGGCCAACCCCAAGGCTTTTTGGAGGAAAGTTCGGTTGTCTTATTGAGGCATTGGAGGCTGTGTGGTGGAATCTCACCTTCTGTGAGAGAGATCTGGATTTGATTCCTCACCAGTAGATCTCATGCATTATCATCACTCATCTGTCTGCCAGTGGAATATGTTGCTAGTATGCTGAACATGTCTTCCTTGAACTTCCAGATTAAGTTAGTTCTAGGAAGAAAGGCCAGGGTATCTTCTCCTCAAAATCAATCTATGAAAGCCCTAAGGATCACAATTTTCTGATCTGCAACTCATCATGGAAATGGTATGGGACAAGGCAACCTTTTGTTTTATTGTCTATGGGATCATACCGAGCTGGGATAATGACATCGTGCTTAGAAAGATGGAAGGTCAACAAAAGAAAGAAAGAAAGATCTTCAACTAGATGTAATGACCCAATGACTTGACTACATTAAAGATAATGAAGAGGCACAGGATAGGGCAAGATTCAGGTCCACTGTTTGTAGGGTTGCTGGGAACCTTAGTCAACTTGACAGCACGTGACACCAAGAATGAGTTGGGAACTAACTAGAAGGCACCATCTTCACAATTACTGCTGTGCCTTAGCCCGTTGGTGCAGCCACTGGGTCAACCCATGTTACTGAGGGGTTTCTTCTCTCCTTTTCTGACTAAGAAAGACATGAGTGCCTGGTAAAAGGCAAAATCAAAGAAGTAAAAAAGGGCATTCAGAATTTTTAAGATGTCTCATTTTTTTAATTGGATGTCATATTAATATATAAATAAACATGTATGTTAGAAAGTTCATCTTAGTCTCGAAAGTTGTCAGAAGCTTCTTTTTGGAAAACAGCCTGAGAAAGAACTTTGGGTGTTATCTATTTGTTTTATATAATGTGATGGCCAGAATGGCAAGGATATGTCATGTTGTTGTTGTTGTTAGGTGCCACTGAGTTGAGTACAACTCGCAGTCACCCCATGAACAATAGATCCTGTCCTGTCCTGTGCTATTGTCATCTCTGACACACTTGAGCCCATTGCTGCCCTCACTGTGTCAATCTATCTTGTTGAAGTTCCTCCTTTCTTTCACTGACCTCTACCTATCAAAGCATGATGTCCTTTTCCAAGAAATAGCCTCTCCTAGCAACATGCACCAAGTATATGAGAGGAAACTTTGCCATCCCTGGCTCAAGGAGCACTCTGGCTGCACTTTTCCCAAGACATACCTGTTTGTTCTTTTGTCAATCCAACTAATATTCTTCAATACAACACAAAGGCATTCGATTATTTTTCTGTCATGTTTATGGATTGTCTAGCTCTTAGATGCATAGCAAATTATTGAAAAGACCACAACCTGAATCAGGTGCACCTTAGTTTTCATTTCTATCAGTAATTTGGAGAGGCCACTGACAGTAGATTTGCTCAGTAGATTTACATCTTCTGATCTCCTGACTGCTGGAATCAAGAATGTTAATTATGGATCCAAGTAAGATGAAATAATTGACAATGTCAGTATTTTCTCCATCTATCATAATGTTGCTTATCAATCAAGGCATGATGATTTTTGTCTTCTTGTTGTTGAGATGCAATCCATATTGAAGGCTATAGTCTTACTGCAGCAAGTGTTTCAAGTCCTCTTCACTTGCAGCAAGCAAGGTTGTTATCTGCATAACAGGTTGTTGATGTGTCTTCCCCTGATCATGATGCCACATACTTCTTCACAGAGTCTTGTTGTTGATTGCCATCAAGTTGAGTGTGACTCATAGCGACTCTATGAACAAAAGACTCAATGCTTTTCCATAGCTATTGTAATTTCTCCAAGTTCATAGAGTTTCCAGAGGCATGTGGTTTAGGAAGTGGATGCCACTCCTGCTTCCAAACCTGGTTTACAACTGGGAGCTCCACCAAACAAAGTCCACATTGGGAAACCATTCTGGTATTTGATACCCCAATGGCACAAGGGTCAACATCATAGCAAACCCAGGTTACTTCATACAGCACATTGACAAAGAGTGATGTACAAAGTGGAAGAGTGTTCCTCCAGACATAACAGCACTAGTCTCATCGGTCTAGCTTCTTGAATTACTTACTCAGCATATGTCCTTGAGTTTATCCCACATGAATTTAAAACTCATGTTAAGAACAGGTTTGAGGCATTGAACACCAATGATCAAAGATTAGTGGATTTGTAGACATCATACATGAAGAGAGCAAAAGGTCATTACAAAGATAGAGGAAAAAGTAAAAACCAAAATGATGTCAGAAGATATTAAAAAATTCACTAGAGTTAGAAGCCAAAACAAAGGGAAGAGACACCTAAGTAAAAGAGATAAACAGAAGATTTCAAAGGGCAGCTTCAGAGAACAAAGCAAATTATTGCAATGGAATATGCAAAGCACTGGAGCTGGAAAATATAAAGGGAAGAAGTCACTCATAACAATACCATTTACAGTAATGACCCAAAAGATTAAATACTTAGGGGGGGGAATCTACCCTGAGACACTGAACATCAGTACAAAGAAAAATACAAAATACAGCTACATGAGACTTAAACAAACCTACATGCTCATGGATAAAAATACTTAATATTGTGAAACTGTAAATATAACCAAAACTGATCCAGAAATATAATGTAGTCTCAATTCAGATCCTGTAATTATTTCTCAAAGACGTGGGAAAACAAATCCCCAATTTTATATGGCAAGTTAAGCCTCCTAGGATAAGAAAGCACTATTGAAGAAAACAAAGTAAGAGGTCTTATACTTCCTGATCTCAAGTCATACTACATAGCCACAATAAAAAAACAGTGTGGTAATGGTAGTAACATAGATAAAGCAATGGAATATGTATTGGAATTGAGAACCCAGAAATAAACTCATCCACCTATGGGCATCTGATATTTGACAAAGAGATAAAAATCCATTAAAGGGGGGGAACATCCTCTTAATGGTGTAGACAAAACTAGACATCGGTCTGTACAACATTGAAACAAGATTCATACCACATAACATATAAAAACTCCCAATTCTATTTGAAACTTTTTGAGAAAGTGCTATACAGCCTTCGATAGTGGTTGCACCATTTTATACTCCCACCAACAGTGAATACGCGTTCCAGTTTCTCCACAATCTCGCCAGCATTTGATGTTTGCTGCTTTGTTAAATTTTGCTATTCAAACTGGGGTGAGATGATATCTCATAGTTGTTTTGATATACATCTCTCTTAGAGCTAGGGATTTTGAACATTTCTCCATGTGCTTGTTGGCCATCTGAATGTCTTCTTTGGTGAAGTGTCTGTTCATGTCCTGTGCCCATTCTTCAATTGGGTTATTTACCTTTATCTTGTTGTGGTGCTTGAGTATTTTATAAAGTCTAGATTTAAGTCCCTTATCTGACATGTCATTACCAAATACTTTTTCTCAGTCTATGGCTTCCCTTTTCACCCTGTTGGAGAAGTTTTTGGATATGCATAGGGATTTTATTCTTAGAAGGTTCCATTTATCATATTTTATCATCTCCTGATGGTAGATTTTTCGGTATGCTTGGAAGACTGTTTATGTTCTAGAG